CAACGCCTCTCCGAATTGTCCTTTCTTGAAATTGATAGTTTTCCGGAGTTGTCTCACGGTTCACGCCCTCGGAGTTCGCTGATGGAGGTATATTTAATTTCTCAAAGCTCAACTTCTCTTCTTTCTTACAAATTCCACCATTAATTTTATATCTTTCGTCAATTAAGAGACATGATGGTTGAGAGCAACCACACAAATCAAATATATATTCCACTATAAACTGGAGATTTTAATCAATTTAATAATTAATTGATTTTAAAGATTTGATATTGTTTATAATTTTATTATTAGGAGATTTCCAAATCATAAAAAGATCAATCTTAACTATTTATAATTAATTTTTATGTAGTAATAATCAAATATCTATTTTTTCATTGCAGGATATGGCTGAAGCTAATGAAGCACAGGTATGATTCACACCATGGAGATGAAAGAATTAATGAAGTATAATTACTTTTTAAACTGAGATACAAAATATATTGGAAAATTTGTATCTTCATTTCTGGTAGTGTTTTTCTTGGTTTTTACATTGTTTATAGTTTTGATACTATACTGTTTTTTTTATTTAATTTCTATTATTTAGTATGTCAACATGCCATCTATGTGACTTTCAATCTATTTATATATTGGTAAATGCTGGGTGTGTTGGGTGTCTAACTGAATGCATTAGTCTTCATATTGTATTAACTGAGAGAACATTCATTTTTGTTGAATCTTCTACGAGTCTTAATATTTAAAAGTTCGGTAATTGTCCTTTGTCACAAATCGCATTACTTGAAAAGTTTTCATGCGGTGGTTAGTTGCGAGAATTAATCATAAATAAACAATCGGAATATTGATAAGTATTTTCTTGTTTTTATGTCATGTTTAGCAATCCCTACACTACCGACTGCAATACCAACTGAAATACCGACAACTGAAATACCGACAAGGAGTTGGATCAAGTGGCAAGCGGCTTGTTCCAGTTTAAGTAAGATTTCGAGTTCGAGACCTTGTGTACGCAACAGCCTCCGTTGGGAGACCTCCCCACCACAACTCGGTGCGCCACGTGAGTCGATCCGGATTAGTCGGGGCTTCGCCTCGGATACCGGACGGAAAACAAAAAAAAAACACTACCAACTGAAATTAGGATTTGATAAGCACTCAAAATCGTATCAACAACGACAAGTAGGAGAATAAAAGCGATCTTATGAAAAAAACAGTCAGTAGGGATGCAATCATGGGAGATTAGACAGAAACCTGAAGACGTTACGGAGGTAATTTTTTACCATATTAGAATGAATTTTTTATTGCAGGTATTCAATAATGGATTGTAATTATTGTTCAACTTGAGGTACGAAATACATTAGAAAATTTGCTTTGCCTTGAGAATTTATGTTCATTTCTAGCACTTTTTTTTTTTTTTTTGGGATTGTTGCCTTCTTTATGGTTTTTATATTGTGCTTCTTCTTATTTAACCCTATTCTTTAGCATGTTAACATGCCATCTATGTAACTTTCAGACTATTTACATCTGTGTTTTTCTAAATATGCCTTAAATGAATAATTAATGTATTTTTTTGACATTAAATTATATAGAAAAATAGTAAAATTGGCTTTAATTTCACCACTAATAATGTCACATGGATTGTTCTAATTAGTCAATTGATTAAATGAATATCAACTTTTATTTTTTTTAATACTAATTAATATTAAAAAAGGTACATTAACTACATCCTTTTATATTTTTGTAAATGTCAAGTCCATTGGGCGTGTTTATTCGTGCATCAGCCTTCGAATTACATTAATCAAGGATAAGATTATTATTCATGTTTGCTGGTTCTTTTATAAGTCTTAATTAGGCATTGTAGTCTTTGCTATCGAGGAGGGTCCTATTGTAAAACTAGGTTGTTCATGTAAGTGTCAGGTATCTCATCCTTAGGTCACTAATATTTTGAAAGCGAGCTATTTCTGGGACTATCAGATGTAGATTAGATTTTTTTTAGCTTTCATGAATGTATAATTGAATAATATTTTCTATTAAAACAAATTTGCTTCTTCCTCACCGTTTGTGATTTTTGCATTAGAAAAGCTAATTGTTGTACTCTGCTTTTATTTTTTGTTTTTTACTTTTTTGGCCAACAAACACAGGACTGTTGTAGTTTGTTACTCTACTGATAATTTGATTTTTCCTATTTCTTTGGTATTAGCTACATTTGTGCATAGTTCAGTTAAGTAGCTGTCCTTTGCTTGCCTATCAGCCTCTTTTTTATTTTTTTCTTCTGATGAGCCTCTTTTCCAATTATCACAAATTGCATTCTCTGAAAAGTTTTGATGTGGTGCTTAGTTATGAGATTTTATCATAAATGGATAATCAGAGTACTGATGAGTATTTTCTTGTTTTCATGTCATTTATAGCAGTTCGAAGACTTTGCACTTGAAATGAGCAAGTTCATGCTGGATGTTGGGAATTTTGTTTGGGATGACACCATCTTCAATGGCAAGAATTTTGATGATTAGAGTTCTATAAAGAGGAAGGTTTGTTTCTGTTGTTTAGAAACTTGTACTCTGTTAAAATACTGGATTTTGGCCAAAATCTGAAAATTTGCCTTCTGCAGCAGGAGGCATGCAATGCGAAGTGGTACTGAATGATTTAAATTTTCTCACATTCAAATTTCCAAATAGGCTGAGTGCATCCAATACCAGATTGAGCTTCCTTGGTATATTTAATTTCTTAAACCTCGACTCCTCTCACTTAAAATCTTCCCAACATTAAGTCTATATTTACCCTATTAATAAGCACTTTTATATTTTTAGGAGTTCAAAATGCAAAGTAACACCCGGAATTAGATTTATCAATCAGGAAGTTAATTCTGGATGTTCCAATTCTTTGAGGTGCAATACATGAGGGACTCCTTTTGGTAATCTCTTCTCACTTTTCTGAAAAAAGGGTAAATTCATGTTTCATAAATGAAATTAAAAAATATACAAAGTTTTAATGTTACTTTTTTCTTTCTTTTTTTCCAGGCCACAAGGTCTTTTGGAAGTAAGCAGTTAAAGGAGAAAAGCAGAAGCAGAGTAGCTAATGTAATGTATGTCTGTGTAAACTGATTCCCATGGTCAAATCTTTAATTTGCAGCCCATTCACTTAAGAATTTTGGTAAGTAATTTTCAAGTCAACTTAAAAAAGGTGCAAGAATGCTTATGAAATTATTTAAATATTTTTAATGAATCAACATGCAAGGGGATTCATTAAGGGTATTTAAATAAACCTGAAGTACTGCTTTCTCCATATATATATTTACTGCTCAAACTCATCTATTATTTGAACAATAAATTGTAAATAGTTTAGCTGCTTGTGTTATAAATACAGAATATATTTTGATTGCAGGCATGGAATTTGAAATATTGGTCTTCAACTGTAGCCATGTGATGCCTCTCCAAGTTGCAGTCCCTTATGATTTCTGGCTGTCCGGAGTTAAAGGAAAGATGGCCTAACAAAAATAGTAACATCTTCAATGGTAAAGATTTTGGTTATAGGAGATTTCAAAATGTTTGCCTTTGGCATAAGCTATGCAGTGCCTCTCATGTTGCAATTGCTGAATGCCCAAAAGTTGACTTAAAGATGCCCAAAGTTGCAGTTCCTTTGGTAATTTGTAATCACTTTTCTCAAGGTGCTAAAGTCATGTTTCATAAGTGAAATTAACAAGTAACTGTTTATTTATTTATTCATTTTTGCACAGTAGCTATAGGGAGAATATGAGTGAACAATTCAGCTACCTAATTATGGATCTATAGATTTTTAATGTTCAGATATGAATTCAGGTTAGCACTGTTTTAAATTACCACTGCATCAGAATCGATTCATTATTCACTTGATACTTTTTTGAGTTATCATTTGTTTTCTCACTTAATCTTTGTTTGATCAATTGTTTCAGAAACTTAGCCATTGACTGTTACTCTATAAATTCAAGCAGAAAGATGGAATCACATACGACTCAAAGGTCAGATTCCTTGGAACTCATCCATTTAATGATTTTAGTGATTCATGTTGCTTTTCTTTTAACATATATCACTTTTCTCTATTGAGAATATCTGTGTATATGAATCTGCATCTTATCTGTCTCTGTGTGTGTGTGTGTAGGTCATTGGCCTGAAATGCACCCAGTGAATGCTCATTCAATAAGCGAGCAGTAGCAGGAGAAATTGGAGGGAAAGTGTGTTGACAAGCAAAGATAATTCAAGTACACTTGCTAGATCTTTTATTAGTACCCTTCACTAAGTATTATTTTCTTTACATTGGAGCATAGTCTTTGCAATTGAGCAAGGAGAGTTATATTCATATGGTAAAGCTAACTTGCCTAAAAAATTTGATGATAAAGTTTGTTTCTTGTAGGTGTTCAATATCTCATTCCTTAGGCCACGACGTCTTTTGAATGTAACCTATTTAGGAGAGCGGCTCATGTTGATTAGCTTAGGACTTTCTTGCAGGTATATTTGAGTAAAACTAATTTCTGAGCTTAAATTTTATTTGAAACAAATCTGCCTTTTTGATTCTTCCATTTGTGATTTTTACATTTTCTATTGAAAGTTCATTGTTGTAGTTTATTAATATCTTCCCACTGATTATTTGGTTTTTTAATTTTTCAGCACCAGTTGCATTTGTGCAGATTCCAGTTCAGTAGGCTGTTCCTTACTTGAGTATCACAGTCTCATTTCCTTCAAAAATAGAACTCTAGGTATGTTACGGTAAAAGCTGAACTTTGATTAATGCAGATTACAAACCTTGTGGGAAAATCCTTTCCATTTTAATGATAGCGTGAAAAACTGAAAATTCTTGCTATTTTTGCAGGACCATGCCAGGTGACCAATGCCTCAAAATCTTACTTTCAAGGAACTGTTTTTTGTTTGAGGCTTTCTGAAATTTCTCAGTGGACATTGGCTGGTGTGGCATTAAGAGACTTTCAATGGAGTTGGACTCCTTGGACTGCATGAAGTGCCTGAGAAATTGGAATACTATTCTTGCAGACATGTTGAGAATTTGATTCCAGAGTCCCAAGTTTTTCCTTTCTTTCCTTGGGAAATTTGCAGCCTATCTTGATTAATCATGGGAGAAATGCTTTGGCTTTAGCTTTTTACAAAGCAAGGTGCAAACAGACCAAAAGACTGGGATGTTTGGCTTCTCTAAGACCTCCACTTTTTTCTTTTGAAACTGATAGCTGGCTTAGGAGGAATGCTTAACTGTTCTGCTACCTTCCATTTTTTTGTCTAATGTCCTAGTTAATTACTTGTAAGGGTTGGAGTACCCCCTTGTACTCCTCTTTCTAACAAAATTTTTGCTTTGGTTAATAACAAAGCTAATTAAAATCCTTGTTTGACCCATTACTTCCATAGTTCCACTGGTTGTGCAATTTCTTCGGTACCAGCTGCATTTGTGCAGATTTCAATTCAGTAGGTTGTCCATGGCTATAATTATTGTCACCACTAATTTTGTTAAGGTTATTAAAATTGTCAAAATTTTATCTTAATTTGATTGTTAAAAATAACTAATAATTAATAAAATAATTAATATTTATTATTTAAAAAATTAAAATTAATTTATAATCAAATACAGAGTTATAAATTAATTTATATTCAAACCACATTCCTTAAAAAACAGAGTTATAGCAAAAGCTTAAAACTTTGATTGCGACTAATTAAAATGCTTGTTTAATGTCTTTACTTAAAAACTTTGAGAATCATAAATATATGATCAGAGCAATGATGAGTACTTTCCAGTTTCCATGTCATGTATAACAATTCGTATGACTCCCTCGCTATGCAGTTAGGGTGAGCAAGCACATGCTGGATCTTTGCAAGATTAATGATTTGGATGGCACTAGCTTCAATAGAAAGTAGGTCAGCCTAAAAAATTAGATTGCCAAATTAATTTGTATAATCAACTCAATGGAAATGTTCACTTATTCGAATGCACTCTGACCAATTACTTTTTGCATTCGTTATGCAGGGGTCATAATCTCAAATCATCTCAGGCAGCAGTAGG